TCTTTTCTTTAGGATTTGATTATTTAACCAAAAATCAGAAAGTTGAATGAGTAAAACATGTCAAGTTTTTTTCCCCTTTAATAGCTGCTCACTTAAAGTGACATGGGACTCACTAAATTTAGCACAGCTTCTTTGCTTTACAAAACTTTTGAGCCCTGTCATCCATGAATATGGCAGTGTCCTGGGAGCCAGAAGACTCTTAGCTGCCATGTGGAAGAAAGAGCCTCAGAGAAAGAAGAATATTTTGACCATGGAGTATGATTATAATGATGACCGAAAAAGAGAAAAAAATTAGCCCTTCCTGTAATTCCCATGTAGCCTCAGATCTAAGAGGAGGCAGCAGGAATGATGATGCCATAAGCCTTTCCTCTCAGCAACTCAAAGAATAACATTTAAGGAAGCAGATTGTGGACTTAGTTGTCCTGTGTCCCAAGTATAACATCATCACTCTCTAGCTGTATGGATTTTAACTTTGCAATACCTAAGTTCCCTATGAATCAGTTTCCTTATCTGTGAAAAAAAAAAAAAAAGGAAAAAGTATCCTAAATTATCATGATGTTTTAAAGACAAAATAAGCCAATGAATAAAATGTTTAGCAGTTTTTTAGCAGTTTCTAGCACACAATAACTACTTAATAAACATAAGCCCTATATATAGCTCAGCTCTTCTGGCTTGTCAATAGTCAAGACTATCTTGACAAAATGGGTCTATAATCATTCTCTTAAAGAAGAATCAGGGAAAACCATCAAGAAAATTCACCAAATAAATTCTATTTTATTTTTGTTACTAATATAAGAATGGTCACAGATATCCATGAACCAGAAAAAGTCCAGAAACTGACCTCAGCATATAAAATTTGATGCTCGAAAAAAATGAAATTTATATTTGTTTGACTCTGGGAAAATTGGCTATACAAATATTCATGTAACATGAAGAAAAAAATACAGAAAGAACATAACTTGTAATTGACCTTGTTTCTCTCTATCTAAACTAGGAAGCTATTGGTTTCCATATTCAATGTGGTTTCTCTTTATTCAGATACTAGATAACTTCTGAAAGATTGATACATTGTTGTGTGTTTTAAAAGAGTTGTTGTTAAAAGGAAAAAGTAAAGAGTTTTTTTTTTTAACCATAATATACAATGTTCACAACAGCAAAGACTTGGAACCAACCCAAATGCCCATCACTGATAGACTGGATAAAGAAAATGTAGCACATATAAATTATGGAATACTATGCAGCCATAAAAAAAGGATGAGTTCATGTCCTTTGCAGGGACACGAAACTAGAAACCATCATTCTCAGCAAACTGACACAAGAACAGAAACCAAACACCGCGTGTTCTCGCTCATAATTGGGTGCTGAACATTGAGACCATATGGACAAAGGGAGGGAAACATCACACACCAGGGCCTGTCAGGGGCTAGGGGAGAGATAGCAGGGGGTGGGGAGATTAGGGAGGGATAGCATTAGGAGAAATACCAAATGTAGATGATGGGGTGAAGGATGTAGCAAACCAATATGGCACATGTATACCTATGTAACAAATGTGTACATTCTGCACATGTACCCCAAAACATAAAGTATAATAAATTAAAAAAGAATCTCTTTCAAAAAAACAAAATAAAACAAGCAAACAAACAAAAACCATAATATAACTATGTAAACCAGAAAATTAACACCGATAGAATGCTATTAAAACTAATCTGCAAATGTTATTAAAATTCCTCCACCTTCCAACTAGTGTTTTTTCTAGCATGTGATTAATCAATATTTCCACATTACATTTGATAGTAACACCTCCTTGGTCTCTATGAGTTGAAAACAGTTCTTTTATCTATTATTCTCATGACCTGGACTCTTCTGAAAAGTACTTGCCAGTGATTTTATAAAACATCTTTTAATTTGGATTTGTTTGATATTTCCTTAGAATTAGATTGAAGGTATATTTTTCGGCAGTAAAACCTCAGAAGTGATGCTGTAATTGTGCCAGTGTATCATATCAAAACGCACACAATGTTCGTAAGTCTCACAAGTGATGATGTCCACCTTGATCACCTGTTTCACATGCTATCTCCCAGTTTCCTCCACTACACAGCTACTATTTTCTTTTGGTTATTAATAGGTATCTTGGTGGAGGGTACATTGAGACTATGCAAATATCTTGTTTCTCATTGTACTGTAACCCAATACTTTTAGGAACCCATGATTTTTCCCTGAAAATAATTACTACTTATGTCTTTACAAAAGGGTGACTTTGTATTTCCATCTTAACTTTATTCTATCATGCTACCTATTCTCTTGCATTTGTTTAATTAGGTCAACTGTTTGATTATACATTTTTATAAGTATGGACTCATGGATATCTATTTTATTCTATGAGTTATAATCCACTAGGGCCAATGGATTCTCTTCCAATTTCATTTGTGTGCCTTTCAACATGACCTCTTTAGTTTCTAAGAAATTTCTTATATTCTGGCATAACATGTCTCAAGCTTATCTTGGGCTTTCTCTACCCCAGCCCTGGTTCCAACCAGTTTTTAAGGGCTCTTTTATCTTTTTTTAATTGAACAATGGTATTTATAAATAAGATCTGTGTGCTAGATGTGCTCATTTTTTCCAGCGTACCATTGCTCTCAGTCCCTCTCAGAGGACAGAGCCAGGCAGAATTGGCATATATAACACACATAAAAAATTTTCTTCTATTTCCTATATTCCCATTGCATGTATATTAAAGACCATACATATTCTAATCCAACACAACAGGGTTCATTCTATATTTCCCTCATTCTTTATTAGCAATTTCTATCTTGGATAATAAAAAACCTGGCTTTCATTATCCAAAACATAAAATTATTTTCTCAGTCCAATTATATACATAAACCAGCTTCAGAAATGTGAAAAAAACAAAAATTTATTAGGTATGGTCTGATATATGTGTCCAGTTATTTCGTTTTTAGCCTTATATAGTCAAATACTATTTTCAAAAATTACTTGCATTCATTATTTCTTCCTCACCTTCCTTCACTTCAGTTATGTAGTTTATTTATAATATAATTAAGATTATTTGTCACTGTCTGTGTTGAATGTTGCATTGCTCGTATATTCAAGTTGACTTATTTAGTTCTTGGCATAGTTAAACATGAAGATGTTGTAAGAGTCAGCCGGGAGTGGTAGCTCACACCTGTAATCCCAGCAGTTTGGGAGACCAAGGCAGGTAGATCATGAGGTTAGGAGGTCAAAGTCATCCTGGCCAACACAGTGAAACCCCATCTCTACTAAAAATATGAAAATTAGCTGCGCAGGCATGGTGGTGTGTGCCTTTAGTCCCAGCTACTCGGGTGGCTGAGGTGGGAGAAACACTTGAACCCGGAAGACAGAGGTTACAGTGAACCAAGATGGCATAACTGCACTCTAGCCTGGTGATGGAGTGAGACTCCATCTCTCTCTCTCTCTCTCTCTCACACACACACACACACACACACGCACACACACACAAAAGATGCTGTAAGAGTCAAGACTATTGAAACAGATATTATCAGAGTGTGCTTTCTCCTATGTCTTTTATCTCATTGGCCCATTTTTTCACCTATCTCTATCCACCTCTTTTAGGTAAACTATCAATTTATAAAGAAGTTTTATACTTTGAGAAATAAATTTAGAACTTGAAATATGGTTGATGTGTCAAATTACAAACATTACTTCAAGTAACTTGAGTATTGTAATGCTAGTTTATAAATATGTGTGTGTATATATGGATATGTATCATTTATGGTTGTTGGGTCATAATGTTGAGGTGTTTTATGCCTCAGAAAAAATTTCTCTTTCTGAACTTCCCCTGTCCTCCTTTTACCAGCCCAAGGCAGGACTCTAATCTTCCTCCACCTTTTGGTTAATAGGCCATAAGACCCTCATTTCAGAAGACTCCTGCCCCATATCCTGGAGGAAGAAATGCTGAACAGGTAGAACAAGAAGGCTCTGGACAGACAGGCCTCACTGGATATCCCCGCTTAGTCTATTGGTATTAGATTATACCCTTTGTGTCCAATCACATTTCTTTATGGTTGTTAATCATGCCTATTCAATGAAATCTTCATAAAACACCCAAGAAAAAAGGTTCAGAGAGCTGAACACATCGAGGCTGACAGGAAGGTGAGCAAGAAGTCATCTGTATGCAGGGGAGGCCAGTATACCCCAACTCCATGGGAGCAGAAACTTCTGCTCTCAGGACCCTTCCAGACCATACTCAAATCTCTTCATCTGGAGGTTTATTTGTATCCTTTAAAATATCCTTTGTAATAAATTTAAGTAAGTGTTTTACTGAGTTCTGTGAGTTGCTCTAGCAGAATAATCAAACCTGAGGTGGGGATCGTGAAAACTCCAGTTTATAGCTGGCCTATCAGAAGCACAGACAAAGCAATCTAGGGTTTGCCACTATCATTGGAAGTGGCAAGGGGAGAAGTCTTGGGAACTAAGCCTCCAGCTTGTGGGTTTTGACAGTATGCCAGTTAGATCGTGTAGGAACTGAATTAGAGGACACTCAACTTGTGCCCACTGCAGAATTTACTGCTACCTAGGTGTGTGGGGGATACCCCTTCCCTGACATTTGGTCACAGAAGTCTTCTGTGTGAATTGTTGTTGTGGTATGAGAGCAGAGGAAAAATGGCTTGAGTTTTTTCATATTCAGAGGCACTTACAGAAATTGCTCCTTTCCTTCACCTTCCATTCCATACCTACTTAAATTCACCAAAGAAGACTTGGCTTTGTGCAAAAATAATAATTATATCTATCAAGACAATGAGATCAAACCATAATCCCCAAATATATCTTAATTATTTCATTCATTTGCTCATTCATGCATTGATTCAATCATTTAAAGTTCCATAATCAAGCAAGTTTTGACACATATTTTAAAGTCAACAATAACAGAAATTTAACACTTATGAAACAGAATGCCAAACACTTAGGACTCCAAAAAGGTTGGATTTTTGGAGACTCACCATTGAAGTTAACATTGCGGATATACTTCAGCAACTTCTTGCCTCCAGCTTGCTCCATCTCTGGGCAGACACCCCGGTAGTCAGCACAGAGATCCTTGTTCATGTGATGAAGGGCATGAGCCATAGCATAGACTGCATCGATCACGAACTGGACTTTACCCTCCTGCTCATAGTTAGAATCTTTTCCAATTCTCTCCTGTCCTGCACATTAAAACAAGAAACACACACACATACACACACACACACAAAAATTGGCACTGAGTAGAATGTCTAAAAGTAAAATTTCAGTTATGCTTAAAGAAAATGCTGTTTTGATAAGTACAGTAATTCAAGCCACATTTGCCTACCATGTGATAGCCAGTTGGCCTACATATCCAGCTACCATGTTAGGTTTCTCTAATAGTTTGTAGCATTTTACTTTGTGATACCTTACTTGGTATTCACAATATAATGGTTCCTTAGAATAAAAGGATCTTTGAGATGAGAAGGTGGGTTGCCACATTCAAATCTGAAAAACTCACTTGCTCTAGAAAAGCCAAATAGATAATGACAGAAAACAAAGTAAATTCCACACCTGAATTCATTACCTTCTACACACCTATTGCACCATCTGTGTCACCTGTCTCAATTGTGAAGATGCAGATGCTCAGGCTAGAAACACTGATTTCAGTTTTCTTTCTCTCCTCTTTCACAATCCCTGCTCCGCCATATGTAAGTCTAATAAATTCTATCAGTTCTACCTGTAAAGTACTAAACAGTTTCAAACTCTCCACCAATGGCCTATTTATGCCTCCCACCATTTCCATCAGGTGCAATTCTCAATGTCTCCTTTCATCTATTCATTCATCCATGTTCACCTTTGTAAACTATAGAGCTAATCTCCCCATTCCCATACTAAGAATCCCTCAAAGACTCACCACTTCCTACAGACTAACTCTGGATCCCTTTTACTGGTAACAGTGGGTATTTATCATTTTGCTCCCATCTGCCTAATAGTGACAAGAACTGATATTGTCTAAGTTCCCACATTGCATTCATTGAAAGCTGTGGGTGTGGGATTTTTATGTCATCATCACTTTGAGAGGTACTTTTTTTTAGTCCTTATAATACTGATGGGAAAGCTGAGACGTATAGAGATTGAATCACCTTCCAAAGATCATTTACAGGTAAAGCAATGATGATGGCCTAGGCTTGTCAGATCCGAAAGCCCATAGTCTTCTCATTTCCTGGGCCCTGTCTACCCTCTCACATTTATTTTCCTTTATTCCGTCAGACAGTTGGGACTATTGTTGCTGTTAAACTATCTTTGCTAATGCTGTTTACTTTGCCAACGAGATCCTTCTATTTGCTTCCACCATCATACTTAATTCTCAACTGTTTGCCACATTGAGGCCCATAATTGCAATTCAACATTCCCATAAAACATTTCAAACCTGGCTTATGGCATTGTCAATAGAATCATATTTTAATGCTCTAACAGGTGTCCAAGACATCTTTGTTGTTTTTACCCTTGTATACCCAGCATTGAACACAGCATTTAGCATCTAGGTGATATTAAATAACACTTGCTGGATTAAATTATGCATTCATTAAGTACATGACACTAGCGGCTCTCTCTAGACCTCTTGTCCCTCTATGAAGAATAATTATTCAGAAATTGCATTTCACTTTCACAGCAATATTTTGCAAATTGTTTTCTATGGCACGCTTGTGTAGTAAAGAAACAATGAGTTCTACAACCTCAACCCCTTTTCCTGCAAAATACACATAGGTTTCCCAATAGCCACTGTGCTAAAAAGTTTTAGGTTTCTTCACAGAGAGACTTTTCCAGAGCATTTAACATTATAACATAAAACACAGTTTCCAAGAGGGAAATTCAGAATTTTCCAAATTTACTCAAATTTGCATTTTTCCATTTCAGAGCACACATTAGTATCTCATCTGCCAGAGACTTTCTGCATTTTATATGTATTTCATTGAAATACCGAATCAATTTTATACTCACTGTGTGTCACTGGATCTAGGGGTTTTCAGTGTATATAGCGTAGGATTATTTTTTAAATATAAAATTTATTATGAATTTATGCACCTACTTACCATTCAAATTCAGGACTACAGAGTTTTCGCTTAACCTTCACATTCTTAAATCTCTACTTCCTTTCTCTCATGAGGAAAACTCTTGGTTCTTAATGATATTGTTATGATTATTCATTTGCTTTATCCCATATAACATACAGATAATATACAGATAACATTCTTAGAAGAACAATCATGTCTAACAAATAGCCTAAAAGCGTAGAACAGCCATGTGCATATGTATGTATGTGTTTTTCAATTTTTCCCTGAATATTTTGAGGAAGAATTTTGAGAAGTGGGGAAGCTTTGTCCAAGGGTAAATTCATGTGTATTTTTTATGTATATTGGCAAATTCAACTCTAAAAGGGTTGTATCATTTTAGTGTCCTACCAGCAACAGATGAAAATGTTTGTTTCCCTGAAACCTTAGCAACAGAGTGTGCTGTCAAACTTTAATTTGTGTCAATCAGGTATGTGAGGAAAACGCTACCCCAGTGTATTTTTTTTCTGACAACCTTCCAGAAGTTTTATTTTTTATTGAATTTTAAGTTCTGGGGTACCTGTGCAGATCTTGCAGGATTGTTGCATAGGTACATACATGCCATTGTGGTTTGCTGTCTTCATCCCCCCATCACCTACATCAGGCATTTCTCCCAGTGTTATCCCTCCCCAACCTCCCTGCCTCCCACTGTCCCTCCCCTAAACCCTCACCCACCAACAGACCCCAGTTATGATGTTCCTCTCCCCATGCCCATGTGTTCTCATTGTTCAATATCCACCTATGAGTGAGAACATGCAGTGGCTGATTTTCTGTTCTGGTGTCAGTTTGCCGAAAATGATGGTTTCCAGATTCATCCACGTCCCTACAAAGGACATGAACTCATTGATTTTTATGACTGCATAGCATTCTATGGTGTATATGTGCCACATTTTCTTTGTCTAGTCTATCACTGATGGGCATTTGGGTTGGTTCAAGGTCTTTGCTATTGTAAACAGTGCTGTAATGAACATACATCTGTATATGTCTTTATAATAGAATGACTGATACTCCTCTGGGTAGATGCCCAGTAATGAGATTGCTGGGTCAAATGGAATTTCTATTTCTAGATCTTTAAAGAATTGCCACACTGTCTTCCACAACAGTTGAACTAATTTACACTCCCACCAACAGTGTAAAAGTGTTCCTATTTCTCTACATCCTCACCAGCATCTGTTGTCTCCAGCTTTTTTAATGATCACCATTCTAACTGGCCTGAAATGTGGTTTTGATTTGCATTTCTCTAATGACCAGTGTTGAGCTTTTTTTCATATGCTTGTTAGCATCACAAATGTCTTCTTTTGAAAAGTGTCTGCTTATATCCTTTGCCCACTTTTGAATGTGTGTGTGTGTTTTTTTCTTGTAAATCTGCTTTAGTTCTTTGCAGATTCTAGATATTAGCCCTTTGTCAGATGGGTAGATTGTGAAGATTTTTTTCCCATTCTTTTGGTTGCCAGTCCACTCTAATGATTGCTTCTTTTGCCGTGCAGAAGCTAAAGTTTAATTAGATCCCATTTGTCTATTTTGGCTTTTCTTGCCATTGCTTTTGGTGTTTTAGTCATGAAGTCCTTACCTATGCCTATGTCCTGAATAGTTTTGCCTAGGTTTTCTTTTAGGGTTTTTATTCTATTAGGTCTTATGTTTCAATCTTTAATGTATCTGGAGTTAATTTTAGTGTAAAGTCTTATGAAGTGGTCCAGTTTCAGCTTTCTGCACATGGCGAGCCAGATTTCCCAACACAATTTATTTAACAGAGAATCCTTTCTCCATTCCTTGTTTTTTTCAGGTTTTTCAAAGATCAGATGGTTGTGGATGTGTGGTGTTGCTTCAAAGGCCTCTGTTCTGTTCCACCAGTCTATATGTCTATTTTGGTACCAGTACCGTGCTGTTTTGATTACTGTAGCATTGTAGTATAATTGGAAGTCAGGTAGCATAATGCCTCCAGCTTTGTTCTTTTTACCTTGGATTGTCTTGGTTATGCTAGCTCTCTGTTGGTTCCACATGAAGTTTAAAGTGGTTTTTATGCTAAAAGCCCTCAATAAACTAGGTATCAATGGTATGTATCTCAAAATAATAAAAGCTATTTACAACAAACCCACAGCCAGTATCATACCAAACTGGCAAAAACTGGAAGGATTCCCTTTGAGAACTGGCATTAGACAAGGATGCCTTCTTTTACCACCGCTATTCAGTATAGTACTGGAAGTTCTAACCAGGGCAATTAGGCAAGAAAAAGAAATAAAAGATATTCAATTAGGAAAAGAGGAAGTCAGATTGTCTCTATTTTTGTAGATGAAATGATTGTATATTTAGAAGACCCTATCGTCTCAGTCCAAATCTCCTTAGATAAGCATCTTCAGCAAAGTCTCAGGACACAAAATCAAGGTGGAGAAATCACAAGCATTCCTATACACCAATAACAGACAAACAGAGAGCCAAATCACGAGCAAACTCCCAGTGTATTTTTATTTGCATTTTTCTTGTTATAAAGGAAATTGAACTTCTTTCATAAGGAAAGATGCAACTTTTTTTTTTAAACTGTTCATAATCTAGCCAATTCTGATAAAAGTTATTGGCCATTTTATTCTGTATTTAATATTAATTAGATATATTAACTCTTTGAGATTAAGTTGCAAATATTTTCCCAGTATGTCATTATTCTTTTACTTCCTTTAGGTATCTTTTTCCAAACAAAAGTTTATTCATTTTTTTCTAGTAAAATCAATTGATTTAGTTTTCTCTTAATACATCTGGATTCCAAATCATGGTTAGAAAAAACTGAGCCTACTTCCAATGTACAGAAGTTTTCATCCATGTTTTCTCCTAGTACTCATATAATTTTATTATTTTAGGTTAAATATTTGACCAACTTGGAATGTATTTCGTTATGAAATTTGGGAAATGAATCAAAATTTTTTTCTTTCACCATATAGCTATGCAGTTATTATAATATATGACACCTCACCATCTCTGGTTGATCTGAGGTTCAGTCTTTACTATATGTTAAATTTCCATATGTGACTGGGTCCATTTCCGGATTTAAAAAATCTGTTCTGTGGTTTACTTCCTCTATTCACACACCAAACCAG